CTTCCCTGGCAAGTGCAAGGGCCTGAGTTCAATCCCCGGTTCCGAAAAAAAAAAAAAAAAAGCATAATAGGCACAAGGAGCATTAGTTGATGATGATAATAATCAAAATTAATTGATAGCCATGTCTGATAATTCTAGGAACATACAATTCTTGGGTCATATTTAGGAACTTGTGTTTTCCATAGAAACTTTGACTCAGTATTTACTAAGCAATGTTTGTAGCAGATTTATACAACGAAATTACCACAAATCATGAACAGCTGTTTGTCTTTTATTTGTACATGAAATAGACTAATAATCCTATTATGATTTTTTTCTAAGAATTATTCATTTCCTCAATCTATTTTACGTACACAAATAAATTAGCAGTAGTTTCATCGCAAAAATTCATACCCCAAAATTGTCATTTTAAGTACAAAACTACTTTGTGTTTCCTAACTTGCAATTCTTTGCATATTCAGTAATTATAATATGCAGCTTTTTTGAACAAATAATTGCTGCGACAGTTCTATATTATGTTGTTTCAGTGTTTAAAATATTTGTGCCAATATTTGTAAGACATCTGAAAACATTGCACCTTGAAATCAACTTTTGCTTGGTTCAATCCAGACACTTACTTTCAAGAATTTGAAGTCATGCAAGAACTCATTGTGAAACTACACTGCATTTTACATCTCTCAGAGCCACATGTCGGCAGGTTACTAGTGGTAACACAAAGACCTGTTTCGTGACATTGCTGTTAGCATTATTGTCAGGTGCATTGATTTTTGAAATTTTTTGTGGAAGATACTGGCATTTTTACTTTTTAGGGGTTTTTTTGGTGGGAGGGGCAGAGGACTGGGTGCTGATATAAAAGAATTACATTTACTAAAAAATACATGAATAAGGAACTGTGGATGACATGTGAGATAAAGAAAGTGAACTATTTTGTGTACGAGCCCAACCAAGATGAACAAATGCATTTCTTCAGTGAGCAGAACACTAGGATTATTGAAGTATCATTAAAACAGATTTTATGCAAATGATAATCATTTTCACTTGATGAAAAATGGTTTTGTGAGAACAAAGTAGTATCTAACAGTATTATGAGACTTGAAATGAACTTAATATGCATTTAATAAAACAACTTTTGAGCAGCAAGTATTATCATCATTGTTATTTTTCACATTACATGTGAAAAAGTTAAAGTTTAATGTAATGAGTCAAGTAATTTCCCTAAAGCCCTATGAATAATAGCTAATAGACTCAATATTCAGACTGGAATCTGACTTCAAAGCCCACAACGCTTTGCTCCTTCTGTGACTTACTTCATGGCGTGTACAATGCATGTCATGTCCTTTTTAAAATTTTGTCATTTTTCTGAGTTACGATATTCCACAAGCCTACTGCCCCAAAGAGAACTGGGAGTACAAATGAACACTAGATATCCTTTCCTTTCTCCAGGTGCTCAACTTATGACATTAATCTTCCTTACCGCTTTTATCATACAGTGATAAAAGTTATCATACTGTGATCATACCTAGAGTCAATAACTTCTTTAAAAAGAAAAGGAAGTCCCAAATGAGCACTTACAGTATTATTTTACACTGAAAGATACAAAGTGAGGTTTAATTTTGCAGTTTTCTTTATGAGCCTCAACCTTCCATCTTCACTGTCAATGATTCTTCTTTCTTTCTTTTTTTTTTTTTTTTTTTTTTTTTTTTTTTTTTTTTTTTTTTTAAAAACCAGCTGCTGGCTTTACCTTTTTATACCTGCCGGATGCTTTCTGAATCACATTATCCGGTGCTCAATTACTGATCCTCATTAAAATCCAGAGCCTAGGGAAATCCCCTGATTTTTTTTGTTCCCTAGTAACAGCCCTAAAGGTAACAGCAGCTGCTTAACCATATGTCCTAGAAAGATGCTGTAGGGGAAATACATAGGCATTCTTATTAAATGCCTTAAATCTTGAGACCTAACATGCTATAGTTACCATATCTGATTACTTACATTTAGTGGTACAAAAGCAAAGAGAAGAATAAATTTATTTCAAATGGTATCATACTGTAGATGAGGTTAACAATTCATATAATCACTAGATATTTTCTTGCTAATTTAAGAATATAATCCCAGTGGAAATAAAATACCTTTTCCTATCAATGGAAGTCTTAAAATGTTCCATACATGTTAAGATTAAGTATATTTATTTTGTAACATGATGTGGCATAAACATTAAGCAAATTTTAAAATCCTTGCCAATTTTTGTTGGTGTTCTCTATTTTTCCATTAATTTTTAGTATCTCTATAGTTTTGCCTTTTTCAGATTTTCATATTGGAATGATCTTTGCAGAATTGCTTCTTTCACTTGCATTTATCTCCTCTGTGACTCAGTGGCTTCTTTTTAGTGCTGAGTAATGTTCCATTGTGTGGATGTGCTACTGTTTCACCAAGTGATGCGTTTTATAGAACTTTTAGTCATTATTAATAGAGCTGTTCTATACATTCATATGCAGGTTTTTGTGTGGGCATAAATTTTGACCTTTGGAGTTGGGTATCAAGAATTCAACCCAAGGGTCTGGAGAGATGGCTCAGTGGTCTAAAGCACCTACTTAGAACAAGCTTAGCAAAGCATCAGGG